AAAAATATTTGTATGTTATAAAACTTAAACTTACAAATTACACAAAAAAACAGAACTTCAACAGCAGAAATCAGTCAAATTCCTGTGAGAAAAACATTTTTACAAATGTCGAATTCATTGTTTTTAMTTTGATTCTTGTAGTCAATGTGTACTGATTAAATGCCATATTCGAGATTCGCTAGTGATTATCTATTGGTAGAAACAGCCCCCAACCCTCCCCTCCTGGAAATGATAACACTAGACATACCGGCCATATCAACGCAATGGTCAGAAACGTAACCCACATCACGTGATATCCAAGTCGGTTATTTTTTTGTATCAAAGAATAAGATACCATAGCATGCCGAGACACGCATTGAAGTATGATATGACAGACAAATAGTGACACTGGGTCATTTTCACTGCGTCAGTCTTCCTGTTTGCTTCGATGCTGTTCTATTTACTAAAATATGGCAAATAAAATCCGTCATTCCTTCTTGGTGTCCAAGGTTACCCATTGCGYTTACTTTAGTCGTTTGAGTTTATGTCAACACGTGTGTTACATAGTATTTATTTGTAAAGTTGTTCTATTTTTTTGTAAAATTGTATTTAAAATAAAAAATGCTGTAAATAGCTGTAAATGTCGTTTGGGAATCATTCTTTTTAAATCTCGCAATCTATAGTCACAGACAAATTGGATGGGACGTTGCACGATTTATAACTGCAAAATGATTCAAAGTATTTTTAGCTTTTTTATTCTGCCACCCCTCCCCCATGCATTTCCGACTTCTGTTGGTATGATTTTATATTCATTTCTTTCAATTCTTACACAATTTCAGAATTCAGAAATCACATTCCCCTGGTTTGCTAGATCCCTGTCCAATGTCTCATACCTTCCCAATACCCTCTGTATTCGTCAAGATTTCCATCCAATCACTTAAACGGGTATGGTAAAAATACTTCGCAACAAGTAATGCTTTATTGTCCCTTTGTGAGCATAAAATTTGACCTTAAAAMSAAATAGATATTTTCCATACACGAGAAATCTAAAACACGACCGCATTGAATGCCGGTTGACCGTGACGTCATGGCCCTCTAAACAGTAAGTCAATCAAATATGTTTTGAGACTTCATGAATTGATAATCAGCATTACGTATAAGATTGATATCATAAGGTCACCAAGTTTCGTATAAAATATCACAACATTGTTGAGACAGAGGAATGAAGACCGATTCATAGTGAAAGTATAAGATTCCGGGTCATTTTAACTGCGTCAGTCTTCCTATTTACCTCGATGCTGTTGTATTCAGTTTCCAAAGTATGGCAGATAAAATCAGTCATTCCTGCTTGGTGTCCAAGATTGCCATCACTCTATCGGTCGTCAGTTTGTTGTTRTGCTGTGGTGTGTTTTTAAGAACAGAATTGATGCTAAACGAGCTGTATTCAAGAGACATCAAGTTGCCAGACAAGATGACTTCAAAACACGACATAAACGATGGCATCAATCGATTCAGCAGAGAAGATCACTCTAAAGAAAACGAAGCAGTTTTAATAAGAAAAGTAAGAGAGGATAAAAATGATGTCAACAACACCATAAAGTTACTGTCTGATTTATTCGATAAGAAATTCGGGAAGTCTTGGATTCCAATTCCAGGACCTCCAKGTCCACAAGGAAAACCTGGTGCAAGAGGACCGCGAGGACGAATTGGTAAAACTGGACGTCGAGGAAAACGAGGACCACGTGGTTTTCCTGGAAAGATCGGACTTCCTGGTCCCAGAGGAATGCCTGGACAAAAGGGATCAAAAGGAGATCGTGGTCTTTCCTTAGCACGTCCAACAGTACTTATTTCACCAACACATCTCATCGTCAATGAAAGCCAGTCCGCCATCTTGCATTGTTCCTCTAGTGGTTATCCTCGACCTGAGATTGTGTGGAGTAAAAACAACGGTACATTACCACACAAACGAGCAGTAGTTGATAGCACTGGCAAACTTGATATCAAACACGTGACACCCAATGACTCAGGAATSTATCAGTGTAAGGCTTCTAATCTTCTTGGCAGCACACAAACAACAGCAAAACTTCAAGTGAACTTCCCTCCCCTAATGACCTTGAACAAAGGAACAATATACAGAAAGATTGGTGATGACATTCGTCTACCCACTTGTGACGTGAGTGGAATTCCTGAACCAAAAATCACGTGGTCTAAKTCTATCGGTTCTTTKCCGGATAATCGTTCTCTTTTCAAAGATGGACAGCTTACTGTACTAAAAGCAAAGAAAGATGATTCAGGGATATATGTTTGCAAAGCTGAAAATCTTCTTGGTTTTGTTATAGGATCTATTATCGTAATTGTTATCGATCTGCCTGTGTTTGTTGTCAGACCTCCATCGTCACACAGAGCGTCCCCAGGGACAACTGTAGTGTTAAACTGTACCGCTAAAGGTGACCCTCAGCCTGTCATCAGTTGGAGAAAAGACAACGGCGTTCTTCCTCTTGGCAGATATGAAGTACGAAAGGGCTCTTTGATTCTAATCAACGTCAAGAAAACAGATTCGGGTGTGTTTGTGTGCACTGCTACGAGTGCTGGTGTTTCTCATTCACATGTAAGTACGACATTGACTGTGCATTTTCAAGATTGTGCTGAGCTTTACAAATCAGGAGAGAGACGTAACGGTGTGTACACAGTYCAACCCGACAABCAGCCTGCWTTTCAAGTYTACTGTGACATGACAACTGACGGTGGGGGTTGGACTGTGTTCCAAAGAAGACAAGATGGGTCGGTCGGTTTCTATCGCAATTGGCTGCTATACAAATCAGGTTTTGGAAACTTGAATGGCGAGTTTTGGTTGGGTAACGATTACATCCATCGACTGACAGCAAGAACAGCGTCGAGTCTGCGCGTTGAGATAGAGGACTGGGACGGAACAAGGAAGTATGCCAAATATGGCAGTTTTAGTGTTGGTGATGAATCAGACAAGTACAGGCTGAGSGTTGGCTCGTATTCAGGTACTGCTGGGGACTCGTTATCATATCATAACAACATGGCGTTTACTACAAAAGATAGAGATAACGACAAGCATAGTGGTGTTAACTGTGCTACATCATTTACCGGTGCCTGGTGGTATCATAGTTGTCTTGCATCTAATCTGAATGGAAAGTACGTTGGAAACAAGAATTCGTATAAAGGTATAAATTGGAACACTTTTCGTAGTAGTCAAAGTTTGAAGAAATCAGAAATGAAAGTGCGGCGTAGTACATTTTAATTCATAACATAACTATCTGAACTTGGGATTGTGATTGTTTTAGTCATGTACACCAGCGGGTGTGTCACTGATAATATTATTTACAATTTCTTGCTTTTTGAGTGAAATATTGTAAATGCGATATACTTTTGCTAATAACTCTAGGAGTAAACCATAAGATCATACTACTTCTCGTCTTGATATTATCTTATTTTGTTGACACTTTCCAGCGTAATACAGGAGGAGCCGACGTGCTGTTCTTCTAAATAAATGTTTCTTGTACGATTTTTTTCCTGGGAAAGGGATTTTGAGCTACATTGATGACAATCTCACAATCAAATATGGCGCCCTTCCTTCGTTAAAATAATTTTGTCCCTGGCAAACGTTTTTAAGGTCAAATAAGGCTTATATAACCGTTTTATGGTCAATTATTTTTTAGTTAGTAAGTTTTTATTTTCCTGGCAAAAATTCTTAGAAAGTATTCCTTGCCCGTAGAGTTMTTTATTCCTGAATTTCTCGCTGGCAACCAGTTATGACTTACACAGCTGGCTGGGTCATAAGAACAGTTATATTTCTCCCAGGAACCCGTCGGCTCCTCCTATAATATCTGTTATCAATTAAATCCACCATTTTCTATTTGTGCAGCTCTTACTATTACAGACACGGTCAGCGATATTACACAATAAAATCCCAAGGACTTCATAAGGAGATCCTTTGCTTCTTTATTTAAGAAAATTCAAAATGTCGGAAATATTATTGGGGGAGCTGTAGCCCCCCAGCCCCCCCTGCTCCGCGGTCCCTGTTTCTAGCTATAGCAGATCGCATATCATTTGAAATTATGTTAATTAAAGATTTTCAGTAATTTTTCTTATCGAGGACATGCATAGTCCAGAACTGGAYCCTCTTTTATCCTTGCACGCGCGGAGTTGAAAACTATTATTTTGAATCAGCGCTCTCAATTTTCTTTAGCGCGAGCTTTGGATTTTTAACTTTCATTGAATATTATCTATAGAGAAAAGAGGGTCCAGTTCTGGACTAGGACATGCAAGACTTCGTTTATTAGCGATTGAAAATGTTTGTAAATAWATGAAGAACTGCTTCGTGTTAAAAAGTCTCATCAACGTACGATAAGACCCCGAGGGACCATGGGAAGACGAGTATTCGTTTGTGAAATACTGTTTTTAGTATATGAATTGCGTCTTTTTATGGAATAAAAGGCTAGAGACTGAATTGGATTTAACGTTATTTCGAAAATAGCGCGGTCATTCCCCTGGACCAAGGCCCTATCTGACATTGAGAATGATTGAATAAAGTGATTATTGATCATTTTCATGACTGCGAGGAATGGATGCCRTGTTCTTAAATACATGTCATAAAATACGTCATGACAGTCGAGGTGAACGTGTGACGTCACCAACCATGTCGGTCTCTCCTTAGTTCACCAACAATACATTAATTCAAGGGCAGGTCCAAGGGAACACAAAAAACGGTGTACTCTCACATGACTTAAAAGTATCTTTCTGTCTACCCTCCAGCAGAGAAAGATCTTTTAGAATTTCAAACAAATTCAAACTCAACATCCTTAGAAATTTGAAATAAGCATTTGATTTGCTTCTGCAGTGACTACTTTAAATCCAGCTTTGAGTTCCAAATATGGTATGACATCTACTAATAACATGCAAATTAGTTCTTTTTCCCTTTTTCAACTTCTTTTCATCTTGATCTGCTCTCAACCTTCTGGGTTTATAACTAAGATATTTTAAGTGAAAACATTTACTGACATGCCAAGGAAGTATAGTATTATTTTTATATATTTTTCCAATCGTTTTTTATGTAAAAATGTACAAATT